CCGCAGTGCCCAAACATTGGCGTAAAGCAGTAATTACGTTTACTTAGAGCCAGTTTACCTGTCTGTTTTGTGTGGGGCCGGAAGGTGGGGTGGGGTGGACAGAGCTGCAAGGAGGTGAGGGAGCCGAGGTATAGGTGGGTGCGAGTGGAACATAGGCGTAAGGGGCCGTGAACTGGCGAGGCAGGCGCATGTGCGCCCCGGAATCCCAGGGCACTGGGCAGAGCTTCCCGGAGGCTTCCTGGAAGAGGCGGGCCTAGGAGAACAAACACCACGTGTTGGGCTGGAGGGGACAGAGGAACGGACAGGGCAGGAGAAGGCGGGTCTGGGGGAGGCAGTGAAGTAGGGGTGTGGAGCGATCTGGGGAGACAGGCTAGGCAGATGGTAGGGCAAGGGTGTGGAGGGCTCCTGGTGGAATTCCTGACCCTTAGCGGGACTGGGAGGGCACAGGCTGGGGAAGGGGCGGGTGGGTAGAGACACGTGGCAGGAGGTATTAGACCCTTTGCAGAGGCTCGTGGGGAGGGGGTTGGCTTGGGAATCAGAGAGAGTCGAGTGTGCCTCCCCGCCTGTGAGGAGGACGCTGCTAGTCGCAGTGAAGGCTGTGCGGGGTACTTCTGCAAGACCTTTGGAGACAAGAAACTGGCCCCGGTCTACACTGGGAGCTAGGGTCACAGCTCTGGGGCTGCTGGTGTGCCGGCTGGCAGGCGCCGCTCAGGAAAGCTGGCCCTGCAGACCACGTCCCAGCTCGGGGTCCAGTGGCATCGTATTCAGGCAGTCCCCGGTTATGAGCAAGGTCGTTCCTAACTGCGTCTGTAAGTGGAATTTGTAGGTCAGTGGGCCCAGGGATCTAAAAGCTGCGTCTGCAGCAAGTGGTGATGGGGATCGAGAATGTGCTGTGAGCAGGGCTTGGGTCACTCATGTCCAGGTGAGGCCAAATTTATGTACCATGAAAGGGCAACCAGGAGTTCTGGGTAAGTCGGGCGTTTCTGACCACCACCCGGTTGCCGCAGAGACAGCTTCCGCTCATGTGACCCTGTGTGTCACACTCCGGAGGGCTTTCAGTGGCTGATATTTTGGAAGGACGTACTTAGTCTCCACCAGTGGAGTGCGCTAAACACACCACCCGAAGCCCACGCCCACTGCCCTGGAGCCTGTCCTAACTCTTAGTGACCCTATAGGACAGAGTGGAGCCACCCCATTGGGTTTCTAAGGCTGTCATCTCTAACGAAGCCGATTGCCAAGTCTTCCTCCCGTGGAGCAGCTGGTGGGTTGGAACTGCCAATGTTTCAGTTGGCGGCTGAGCACTTTAATCGCTGTGCCACCGGGGCTGTTTTGCATCACTCCGGGATTTGAACTTGGCTATGGGGAGTGTGTTGACACCATGGGAGTGGGAAGGCGTCTGGGAGCTGGGACCACGTGTACCACTGTCTCACTAGCACAGCTCCGGGGAGAGCCCAGTCCTGCCAGGGGTTTCAGGGAGCCCTCTGAGAATGTGAGGCCGTTTCTTTGCCTAGTGGCCTCTGCCGAGCCCAGCTCCCAGCTTTGCTGGAGACCAGTGATCGTGGATGTGTTCTGTGGGTGACAGGGCCTCAGACACTGTGTTCATCCCTGCCTTGTGCCGGAGACTCATGCCCACCTTAATCCCGGAAGCACTGAGCTGGAGTCCTGGTTGAAAGTACACGAGACTGAAACTTGCCAACGTTTAGACACAGCTCTGCCCTTCCTGTGCCCAGGGGCTGTTGGCGAACCTCTCTGGGCTCTGGGGTCCTTGTCTGTAGGGGACACAGCTGGTTGCATCCATCCCTGCAGTTCCCTCCAGCTCTGCCGTGGGGGGATGAGTGCCTCCCTCTGCACCACACCCATCTCCCCGGCCCTCCTCTGGACGCTGGCTGCCCTCCGCATGCCCTGGTCTTCTGCCCACCTGGTCACCAGCCTCCTTCTCTGGTGTGGTGACTACGACCCAGGCCAGGGCCTTTTCCCAGTTTACCCTCTTCTGCCAGGGAGGGCCTGCACCTTGTCCCACGGCTCGAAATACCATCCTCAGATTTAAACATGCCTCAAATTTAAATCACCAGCCCAGACCATGGGGCCAGCTCCACGTGTCCGGATGATGAGCCACACCCCCACGAAGATTCCGAAACCAAAAAACAAAATCTTGCCGCCATTGAGTCGATTCTGACTCAGAGCCACCCCTACTGGGCTTCCAGGGCTGTAAATCTGTGTGGAAGCTGACTGCCCCATCCTTCTCCTGTGGAGGGGCTGGTGGGTTCAAACCACCGGACTTTGGGTTAGTAGCCAAATGCTTTAACCACTGCACCACCACAGCTCCTTCCCGTAAAGATTGACAGCTGTGGATACCCTCTGGGGCAGTTCCCCTCTGTCTTCCAGGGGTGTTAGGAGTTGGAATTGACTAGACAGCAGCGAGTTTGGTTTGGACTGTCGAGTCAAATCCAACTCACAGCGACCTCTCCTTGGGTTTACGAGGTGTATCTCTATGGAAGTAGATTGCCCAGTCTTCCTTCTGAGGACTGGCTGGTGGGTTTGAACCACCAGCCTTCTGGCTAGCAGTCAAATGCCTTAGGCACTATGCTACCAGAGCTCCTTCAGTAAAGATTAAACCAACAAACAAAAAACCAAACTCAGTGCCGTGGAGTTGGATCCTATGAAGTCCTATGAAGTTCCACTCTGTCCGCTGGGGGCAGGCCTGTACTGTGAGTCGGAATGGACTCCACAGCAGTGGGTTTGGGCTTTGCTTCCATGAAGACTGACAGCCTTGGAGACCCTGTGGGCAGTTCCACTCTGTCCTCTAGGGGCACATTGACTCCATAGGTTTTGTTTCATGCAGTGTCTGTCAGCACACCTTGACAATGTTGTTGTTGTTGTTATTTGCCATTGAGTCGGCCCCGACTCATAGCGACCCCTCCTTGGGTTTCCTAGGCAGTATCACTATGGAAGTAGATTGCCCCATCTCCTTGACAATAGGGCCTCTTAAAGGTACCTGGAGTCTGCCCACTTCTCCCCACCTCCCCACGTCCTGCCTGGACGCCTTCATGGCCCCTGCCCTGGCCTCTGCTTCCTGTCCTAGTTCCTGCCTGGCGGGTGGAGGACCTGTTAACTAGCTGCATCAGACCCCGTCACGGACTGTGCAAAGGCTGCCCGGCTCCCGTGGCACTTAGCACAACCGCCAGACTCCGCCCCCAGAACGGACTGAACTGTGTCCCCCCCAGAATATGTTGCACATCCGAACCCTGCACTCGGGATGTGAAGCCATCTGGGCATGGGCTTTCCTTGTTCGCGAGGCTGCATCAGTCGGGGGTGGGCATGAAGCCAGTCCCTGTGGGCCTGTAGAGGAGCGATCGGGCACAGAGCGGGAGGTGAGGTTTGGGTGAAGTGAGACACGTCAGATGGAGATCGCCAAGCAATCCAGGAAGAGAAGCTGAAAGGAGGCAAGGACCTTCCTCAAGAGCCGACAGAGAGAGACAGACGGAGGGAGAGAGAGACCCAGGGAGACAGCCACAGAGAGACACACAGAGACAGATGGAGGGAGAGGGAGACAGACGGAGGGAGAGAGAGACAGACGGAGGGAGAGAGAGACAGAGAGAGAGACCCAGGGAGACAGCCACAGAGAGACAGAGAGAGACGGAGGCAGAGAGAGACATACAGACAGACAGACACAGAGCAACACAGACAGAGAGAGACACAGAAACAGATGGAGGGAGAGAGAGACAGACAGACAGAGACAGACACACCGAGAGAGAGCCTTTCCCTGAAGCCAGTGCCCTGAATTTGAACTTGCAGCCTCCTAACCTGTGACAGACCACAGTTCTGTCTGTTAAGCCACCCCTTGTGGCGTTTCTGTTACAGTGCCGCAGGAGGCTAGGCACCTCATCTCACCCCCACTCTGCCTGTGAACCCCGAGACTCGCCGGCCTTCTGTCTTGCCCTGATCACAGGGCCTGTGCCCCACATGCTTCCTCCAGCTGGACTCTGCCCGCAGAGCTGGGCATGGCCACACCTCATCACCCAGGCCCCTTGCCAAATGCCCCTTGTTAGGTAGGCCATCCCAGACCAGGCCACCCCAAAAGCCCGCCCTGCCCTGTCCCTGTCGCCTCATCTTCTCTGGATGACCACACTCCCCTCTGTCTTGTTTGTTAGGGCGCCATTGCTGCACAGCCTCTAAATGAGGAGGTGCTCAGGGGGCGGCCTCACCTGTTTGCTGCGTGTCCCCAAGGCCCCCACTTTGAGGACAGCCACCACGACAGTTCCCGTGACATGTCTTTAGAGGAGATGAATGACCACCAGGGTGTGACCGCACAGGCGGAGGAACGGGGGTGCTGTTCCCCAGCCAGCGGGACAGTCCCCTGGGGGCTGCATCCCAGGCGTGTCCAGGAACCCACCTCTGCAGCCCTCCTCCCAAACATGACCCACGAGACTGTTTCTGAGTTTCCCACTGTCTCTGGGGCAGATGGAGACCTGGGCAGGAAGGAGGGCAGCTGGGCCACTCCAGGGAGAGGTCGGAGACCTCTGGTTTCTGAGGGGGTGGGATTGCGGGGGGCTGTCTGGGCAGTTTGCTTTGGAAATGTCTGCTCCAAGCCTGGAGACCCCAGGCAGTGCGTATAGATAGTGTGCTCAACTGCTAAGCAAAAGGTTGCAGGTTTAGGTCCAAACACAGGCTCCTCCAAAGACAGGCCCAGCAGTCAATTTGTAAAACATCAGCCATTGAGAATCCTGTGGGGCACGGCTCTACCCTGATGTGTGTGGGGTCCCCGCAAGCAGCTGGGGCGGCGGGATGGCAACTGGCTTTTATTCTTCACTCTAAGCCTAAAGCAGAGAGGCTGGAAGGCCTGGCCGAGAGGTCCCCTCTGCTCTTGGTGGCAGCAGGCTGGTCAGTCTGCAGCCGGCAGCTCTGCCCAGCTTCCCGAGGGGCATCAGGCCGGGGGGGGGCTGTGCCACTCTTGCCCTTCCCCACCCGCAGCCTCTGACCTTGTGCTCCCCCAGTGGGCATTATGTGATCTTGACCAGAAGAATTGTGGCCACCGCCAGCACTGTCACCAAGGGGCTCCGGCCGCTCAGCTGGAGAGCAGCTCCTGGGGGGGTGGAGGGTGGAGTGAGTGGGGTATGGGTGGCATGCACCCACACTGCTCACCCTGGCACCCCTGCACTCCCCCCGGGCTCTCACCCTCCCTCTGTCCACCTGGCCCGGCTCTGCTGCACGCTCCCAGCCCTGCCCAGTAAGGGCTGTCTGGCCCCAGCTGGGGTCCACTGATGTCGGCCATTTTGGAGCTTTTGCGGGACCTTTGCTTCTTCGGAATGCGGTGAGGGGCTGTGCATGTGAGTGAGGAGGCTGACAGCACTCTCCAGGAAGGGACCCCTCACGGAACCACACAGCTTGGGCCCACCCAGCCACCCCTCTGACCCCGGGCCTCCCTCCTGGTCAAGGTCAGTCCTGTGAGCCTGTGAGCCCCACAGCAGGACACTTGGTAAACACGCAGGGACACACCTGTGTAGCCAGAGGGCGGCTGAGTGGGCCCAGGTGGGGAGCAGCAGGTGGGAGCTGTGGGAGGGGGCGGCGTGGGTGCTGAGGAGGCCGGCATGCCACCCTGGTCTGGGCGCAGCAGGGGCAGGAGGGTGCCTGGGTCCCCGTCGTTGGGCTCGGGCACGATGCCCAGCAGCCTGCACATGAGCTCATACACGTGGACGCTCTCGAAGGGCGCCACCTCCAGGCCGGCCCTGAAGCTGGGGCCCACAGCCCGGAAGATGGTCTTCATGTCCAGGTCCCCATTGTCGAAGCCGTGCTCCCCATTGTTGAACTGGACGTTCACTCGCTGCAGGAGGAGGGGGTCTGGGCTTCTGGCAACGGGCCCTCAGCCTTCCCGGCCGCCCCACCCATTCCCCCACAGCCCCAGGGGCTGGTGCCCGGGGTGGACGGAGGACGAGGAGGAATGAAAGGAGGGAAGGGTTTGCTGAGTTCTGAGCCCCAGAAGTCTGTCCCCCAGAGAGAGCAGGTGTGGAGACCCCATGAGGTGAATAGGGACCCGTGAATAGAGATGGGGCCAAGGGTCAGCCTGAGGCTGTGCACCCCTCCTTGGCAACCCGGCCAAGGGGTTTGGCCAGCCTGCACCTCCCTCCCCTCCCCACTCAGCACCCCCTTGGCTCTCTGCTTGCGCCTTGCTCTTCCGTGGCTCACACTCGCCCTAAACACACCCTGTGCTGCGGAGAGTGATGAGTGTGTCCTCTGGTCGCTGACCTTCCCTTCAGACTGGGACTCCCTGGGAATTCCTGATGCTGTTGACTTGGCTCTGAGTCCTGGCGCCCCCATGTGGATCAGAGTAGAACTGTGCCTCAGAGGGTTTCAGTGGCTGACTTTTCAGAAGTAGATGGCTGGGCCTTCCTACTGGGGTACCCTTGGGTGGACCCCGGCCTGCCACCTGTCAGGAAGCAGCTGTGCACATCAGCCGTACGTGCCACCCAGGGCTCCTGCTGAAAATGTCGCTGCGTGCTGTCAAGTCCCTTTTGACCCCTAGCGACCCACATGACAGAGTGGAACCGCCTCACAGGGTTCCTAGGCTGTCATCTTTATGGGAGCGGACTGCCAGGTCTTTTCTCCTACGGAGCCACTGGCTGGGTTTGAACCGCCGACCTTTTGGCTAGCAGCTGAACCCCTAGGGCTCCTTCATGCTAAAGTAGGGGCTGCTTTCTGTACGTCAGTAGGAAGAGACCTGGGGGCCCCTGGGGGCCGTGCACCCCGTGGCCACTCACCCCGTGGATGACGTAGCCGGAGTCGCTATACATGAGCAGAGGCGTGATCCGGGGGTGGTTGGCGTAATGGAAGGACTTGGGGAACGACTCCTTGCGGTAGACATGGAGCTTGGGGTGCACCTCCTTGAGGACCTCGTACACCTTGTCCAGCAGCCCCTCTTTGGGCAGCAGCATCCCGTTGGGCCCGTAGTCAAGCAGCTCAAACTCGATGTCCTTGAAGGTGAAGTTGGGGAACTTGTGGAATTCCACCAGGTCGCTGGCCGTCTTGTTGACGGTGGTCATGCCGTGGTCGGACGTGATGATGAGGTTGAGGCTGTCAGCCAGGCCGCTCTGCCGGATGCGCTCGCGTAGGTAGCCCACGGTCCGGTCCACCTGCCTCACTATGTCCTTCCTCTCTGCAGACTTGGGCCCGAACTTGTGGCCGGTGGAGTCGGGCTCCCCGAAGTAGAGCGTGACCAGGTCCAGGCCGTCCTGGGTGAACCAGCTGATCACCGTGTCGATGTTGGCCCTCCACTCCTGCTCGTCCTTATAGTTATGTAGGACACCCTCCTTGCGGCTCTGTGTCACAGCCACTCCCTGGTAGGTGACATTCCCGCCAGGGTAGAAGAAGGAGCCGGTCTTCAGACCCTGTTGGAGCAAGCAGGCGTTAGGGACATGAGACCTGGGACCCACACACCCCTCTTTTCCCTCTGCCCACTGGCCCAACCAACCTCTCAGCCACCATGCCCCATTTCCCCACCCCCTAGGGTCCACTCCTTCCGCCCCCCATGCAGCTCTGAGTTTTCTGAGATGCCTTTCCTATCTTTATCTCATTATCGTGGGTGAAGGGAGCTCTGGTGGTGTAGTGCCTAAGCCACTTGGCTCCTAACCAGAGGTTGGCTGTTCAAACCCACCAGCCACTCCTCAGAAGGAAGGTTGGGCAATCTACTTCCATAGAGATACCGTCTTGGAAATCCAAGGGGGGTCGGTATGAGTTGGAATCAACTCGACGGCAGTGAGTTTGGTTTCTTGGTTTTTTGTACGTGAAAGCTATGTTGCAGGACAGCAGGGGCCCAGTGGGCTCAAGGACACATGAGGTGATAGGTGTAAAGTTGTCCCCAGAATGTCAGGCCAGTTGGCATCACCTACTGCACAAAAACACTGTTCCACACCCTACTTTGGTGAGTAGCAGCTGGGGTCTTAAAAGCTTGCAAGCAGCCATCTTAGTGCAACTGTTGGTCTCTTCTCCAGGGCAACAAAGATTGAAAAAAATCAAAGGCACTTGGAACAATTAGTCCAAGGGAGACTCAGCCTCCGAGACCCTGAGACCAGAACTAGATGGTGCCCGGCTGCCACTGCCAGCCACTCAGAAAGGGATCAGAATTGGAGATCTTGGGTGGAGTGAAAGAAAAACGTGGAACGAAACTTAAAATCATAAAAAAAGACCAGGCTTTCTTGTCTTATAGAGACTGGTGAAACCCCTGGGCCTCTGGCCCCAAGTCACCCTTCAAGCCTGGAATTGAACTCACTCCCGAGGGTGAACTTTCAGCCAAACGAGACAGGTCTACAAGGTGAACAATTACACCAGGTCAAGGGAGATCAGAAGGGCAGTATGTACAGAGACAAAGCTCAGAGGGCAGGAATGCACAGGAAAGAGGAACACGGGGGAACCGTAACCCCAGGGAGTGGGAAGAGAGCTGTTCCATTGTGGGGGACGGCAGTCCATGTCATGAAACAAAACGTGTGTGAACTGCTGTATAGATAATGAGTTTTCACCCAAATCACTATAAAAACTGGAAAAAAAAAAGCGTCCCAAACAAGCAGCATCTTTCTTGTTAACGGGACACCGGGCCACTGGAGTTGCCCACACTTGAGCCGCCGGCCCCGCCGGGCCTGAGTCTGCCTGACTGTCCAGCCACCTCGCCGCCCACCTCCCCTCCCAGGCTTCAGTCGCCTCATCCGTTGTCCTTCCAGACGCGGATGCCTGCATTATTCAGGACTCCATCTGCCCTGCCCCCCAGGGGCCCTCTGCTTCCATGCTGCCCAGGTGTCTTCTTAGACTGAGCTCCTGCGTGGGAGCGGAGCGGGGCCCCGAGTTCTCAGCTTGGTGTGTCTGCGGAGGAGCTGGTGGGGCTTTGTGGGGACCTTTCCTGAGTGAGGGGCCTCGGGCTGAGTGGGTCAGCTGATGCCCAGGTGCGGGGGACCCTGAAGTTTATCCCTGGCTCCCCGTGACCGCCTGCATTTGGGCTCTGAGCGTGGGGTGGGTGGGGAGCCTGCGCCCTGGCCTGGCCATGCGGAGCGGTGAGGGGGGGACCCTGAGCCCACGGCCCCAACTCTCCCACTTTATTCTTCGGTCTCTTAGAGTATCCAGCCGTTTGGCCGAGGGGAGTAGGAGGGAGCCATTAAGCCATTTTCTCTCTAAATGCTCCCGGCTGGGACACAGGTAGTGCCTGGGCTCAGGCTCCCCCTGGCCGGGAGTGCAGAGCCATCCCTCCTGCTCCCACACCCCAGGGAGGACCTCGTGGTGGATCCGGGCAGGACTGGGGCCTGGACTTGAGCGTGCGGCCATCATGAGCCCAGCAGTCTGTCCCCATGGATACCCACACCACCTGCCTCAGCACCGCTCGGTGCTGAAGCATCCAACACAGAGGGTTCCATGGGGGTCTCCCAGGGTCCACTTAGGCTCCCGCCCCGCGCCGAGCTGGCGTCTGCGTGGGCGTGGGTGACGTTACCTGCCTCTGGGCAGTGACCCAGATGGGTACACTGCCATTGTCCCACCACCGCTCGATGCCCAGCGTGGCGTGGTAGGGCAGCTTCACCTTGGAGGTCGTGTTATAGAACATGTTATGCACCACCCCGTGGTTCTCGATGTACTTGCCTGGGAGGGAGAGAGGCAGAGGGCTGGTGGGAGGGCTGGGGGAGGGCTGGGACGGGGCTGTGGGAGGCAAAGCCAAGGCAGGGCCGTGACTCCCCCGGGAACCTTTCTGTGCTTGGTGGTGAGGCTCCCAGACGAAAAGGTGCCGCTCCCTGTCCAAGGAGTCTCTGGCTGGTGCAAACAGTTAAGTCCTCGGCCGCTAGCTGGAAGGTTGGGGGTTCAAGGCCACCCAGAGACTCAACAGGAACCGACCCAGCCATCCCACGTGCGCTGCTGGGCATTTCCCCCTAAGCGAGTGGGCCGTGTGCATGGACAGGCACCTAACTAACCCTGTTTGGCCTTGTCCACTTTAAGAGCGACAGGGGCCACCTGGCCGGCGGGCCACCTGGCTGGCTTCACTACCTGAACTGTGGTCCTTCATGAAGGGAATCCTACGCAGGCATGAAGGAGAATGGAGTGACGTGTTTAAATGTACGTTCTGAAGAGGAAATCTACATAGTCCCAAGTTCCAAAGGCACAGAAGTTACCAAGCGAGGGACGGTGAAGGGCGCAGCCCTGGACGCGGAAAGTGAAGATGGAGGGGGCTGTTGCCCTCCGTGCACAGGAGGGGGTGTGGGGGTGGCAGGCGGTGCCCCAGGAGAGGCTGGGAGGCAGGGATGGCACAGGGTGGCTCCTGCCCGTCACTCGCTCTTATGCGTGGAACTGTGTCCCCCCAAAAACATGTTGAAGTCCCGAGCCCTGCACCTATGGTCGGGACCCAGCTTGGAAACGGGCTCTTTGAAGATGTTGTTGGTTAGGTTCACATGAGGTCATACAGAGCAGGACAGGTCCTCACCCTATATGACTGATGTCCCTATAAGGCGGGGAAGACACAGGCAGGGAGACGAGGAAGGATGCAGAGACGCTGCCGCCACGAGCCAAGGAGGGCCTGTGGTCACCAGGACACAAAGAGACAGGGAAATGGAAGGGCCCCCTGTGACACTCCGTGTGATGCTGCAGCCACGAGCCAAGGAGGGCCTGTGGCCACCAGGACACAGAGACAGGGAAATGGAGGGGCCCCATGTGACACTCTGTGTGACGCTGCAGCCACGAGCCAAGGAGGGCCTGTGGCCACCAGGACACAGAGACAGGGAAATGGAAGGGCCCCCTGTGACACTCCGTGTGACGCTGCAGCCACGAGCCAAGGAGGGCCTGTGACCACCAGGACACAAAGAGACAGGGAAATGGAAGGGCCCCCTGTGACACTCCGTGTGACGCTGCAGCCACGAGCCAAGGAGGGCCTGTGGCCACCAGGACACAGAGACAGGGAAATGGAGGGGCCCCATGTGACACTCCGTGTGACGCTGCAGCCACGAGCCAAGGAGGGCCTGCAGCCAGCAGAGGCAGGAGCAGACCCTCCCTCAGAGCGAGCCATGCGGCTGACACCCTTGGCCAGGGCTCCCAGGCTCCAGAACCGTGAGACTGCACTTCTGTTGTTTAAGGCCACCTCCTTGTGGATGCGACCATGGGCTCAAGCCTGGCAATGGCCTGGGGCTGGTGCAGGGCCGGGCACTGCTTGCTTCTGTTGTGCACGGGGTCCCTGTGAGTGCGAGCTGACTTGGAGCCCGGGGACCAACACGCCCGCTCACCCCCTAGCACTGCTCGCATTGTCTCTCTAAGAAGCTTTAAAAGACAAGGGAGTCTGGGTAGATCTGGCAGAAGCTGGGAGGCAGATGAGGGGTGAGGACAGGAAGGGGGACAGGAGGAAGCTGGGCAGAGCACCCCCCAGGTTCCAGGGGCGAGACAGAGGCGAGAGGTGGCAAGCAGCAGAAGCAGGAGTGGCAGACTCATCTCCCATCCTTCCATTTCCCACTGCCACTTGTCTCCTCCTCCAGGAAGTCCTCTCAGATTGCCCTCCTGTCCGTGATCCCCCACTGAAGGCACCCAGCCGGCATTTTGAGCTTGCCCTCGGTGAGTTGGCACTGAGGGGCAGGCGCTCTAATGATTTCCTTGCCTGGGCACGTGTTCCCCAGTGACAGTGTCCCCTCCTTTGAGTAAGGGCTATGTCTTCTTTTGTCCCTGTATAGTGCCAGGGACAAGGCTTTGTGCACCAGGCCCCATGAGCACCGGGGGTCCTTCCCCTGCTTCTACACCCGCCTGAGGTCGGCACTCACCGGTGACCAGGGTGAAGTGGCAGGGGCTGGTCATGGTGACAAAGGCGGGGGTCATGTAGCGTGCCTTCACTCCGTCGCGTGCCATGGCGTCCAAGTTGGGGGTGTCCACGTCCTGGTCATAGTCCCAGCGGAAGCCGTCGAAGGACACCAGGAGCAGCTTGTGCTGGGCCGCCTGTTCCCGGATGGGGACCCCAGCCCCCGGAGCCAGCAGAGCGGCCAGAGTCAAGGCCAGAAGAGCTGTCGGGCGGCTCATGACAGTTCCACTGCAAGTGGCTGCCAGCATGTCCCAAGGAGGAGGAGGAGGGGGGCAAAGTCCCAGGGTCGCTCGCAAGCCGCCTGGGTATCGGTGAATGTGACCGCGCACGCCTGGTCCGAGAGAGAGGCTGAGCAGCTGGCAGCTTGGTGCCTCCGGTCCGGGCCCCACGCGACACGCCTGGGTGCAAACCCGTGACCCGCTTTTATCACCACCAGAGGCCTGCGGGCTGGGCTGTCCCGCCTCTCCCATCACGGGTGCCCCCGCCCAGTGAGGAGGGAGTGGAACGTTGTCCCTACAGCTGACAGAGGTGAGCCCGCGCCTCTGGCCCATGCCTGCGCCCCTCCACCTCTGCTCAGTTGGCCCCCTAGCCCTGGTTTGGGGGTGCCCTCTCCAACCATAGCAATGCAGGTGTGGGCGAGGCCCTAAGGGGTGTCTCCAAGGCTTTGCTAGGAGGGTGTCGGGGAGGTGAATGACTCCAGGTGCCTCCAGCCAGGGGAGCTTAGAGGAACCAGTCTGAGGGGCAGCGGTGCCTGGTCTTGGGGCCCTGGGGGCCACAGTGAGCATCCCGTTATTCTCACGTGTCCGCTAATCGAATGTTCAAACCCCCACTCCAGTGCAGGTGGAGGACTTACTAGACGAGGGGAGGGTGGAGACTGAGTGCCCACGGGGAGGTAACAGCCAGTGTCCAGGCAAGAGGTGACGGTGCTGCAGGCGGGGCTGCTGCCTGTGACTGGTGGGATGCATGGCTGAGAGGCCTTGCTGGTGGGTTGCAGGTGGGGGCGTCGAGAGGGAGGAGCAAGCAGGACTTGATTTTCTGCCTGAGTTCCAGGGGGGATGGTGGTGTCATTGCTGGGATGGGAGCGGGGCGTGGAGAGAAGCCAAGCTTACTCGGAGGGGTCTCTGAGGCATCCGTGTGCAAGGTCAAAGGGGGTGGGCGTCAGCTCCACTGCCCCTGAACTTCAGGTGCACGGACGGGGTCCCGCCGCCTTCATGACTTTGGGGCTGCAGCAAGCAGTCGCTATTGTCACCTGATTCTGGCCTGACCACTCTTGCGACACCCCTGAAGCCTCAGGGGTGTAGCCAGTGTTCCCATGACCCTGGACCATGGCTGTGGATTCCTTGCCCAGACCTCGTGAGTCACCCTCGGGGGAGGAATCCACCCTGGAGGGTTCTTGTGTGCACTGAGGTCTGAGAACCATGGAGGAAGCCAGCCGCCATGCATGGATGCATGCAACTGCGTGGAGCGCCTGCTCCGTGCCAGGCATTAGGCAGGGCTGGGGCCAGGGAGCTGTGGGTTGTGCCGGTGGGGATACTCCTTCCCTCTTGGACTATGGCTTCCAGTAAATGACACAGTGTTGGTGCTCACACATGGTGAGCCATGCCACGGGGACAAGGCAGGGTGCTTGGGAGAGAATAACAGGGCACTCAACACCAAGACCTACAGATGGAGGTAGCCAGCAGAAGCGGAGAGGGCCATCATGTTGAGTTTAGAGGAGGAAGAGTGGTGGGGCTTGAGGCTAGGAGGGGGTGGGGGTGAGACCAGGGGTCGTAGGTCATGGAGGAGTCTGGATTTTATGCTGGTTCAGAGAAGGCTCAAAAAAAACCCAAACCAAACTCACTGCTGTGGAGTCATTTCTGACTCAGTGGTATCACGACAGAGGTAGATTGCCCAACCTTCCTTCCAAGGACTGGTTGGTGGGTTTGAACCACCAGCCTTCTGATTAGCAGTCAAGTGCCTTAGGTACTATGCCACCAGAGCTCCCTAGAGAAGGCTCGTTGTCCCCTAATAACTGTTCTTCCCTTTTCCCATAGCAAAATGGCCACCAAGAATGAAGACTACATTTCCCAAGGTTCCTTGCAGCTAGGTATAACCATGTGATCACATTCTGGCCAATGGGACGAAAGCAGAGTGTTACAAGCCAGTTCCCAGCCTCTTCCGGCTTGGAGATGGGACGTGTGCTTCACCGGGGTTCACAGCAGGGTTGGCCTAATTCTTTGCCTTTCTTTCTGGCTGGTGCTCACAGGGAGCACCTTGAGTTTTCCCTTCTCGCCCATCTGTTTCCGTCTTCCTTGGTCCTGTGTACTGCTTCAGTGAAAATAGTTTGTAATGGTTGATAGTGGCTAGCAGTCCCTGTGTGCTTCCCATATAGCAGATCCAGGTATATGCCTGGTGTACGCAGGACAGGTGATATCCATGACCTCGTTCAGGCTTCCAGGTGGTTCTTTTTCCCCCCTTTTCTGCTTCGACTTTATTTGTCATTTATTTTTGCTGAATTTCCTCCTTAGCCCTAAGCTTTTGTTTCTTGTTTCTCCTGGGATTTCTCTTTGTTCTTGGCAGCCTCCTCTTCTTTGTCATGTGAAAGCTGGACCAACAACACGTGGCCCAGGGGGTCACTTATGGGTTAATCCCACCCTGAGCTCTGTAAGTGCAGCGGGCATCTTGGGGGCTTTGTTCAGCTGCTTGTGCTCAATGACCAGAGACTGCGTCCAAACCCTGCGTTTCCCGTCACACTCTGCCATCTTTAGACATGAGCAGCAACAGCATGAGCAAATTTGATTTGATCTTTAGACATCAGCACTCTTTCGGGGCCACTGACCCTGTGTCCAGCCCCACTGTTGGGCCGGGCACACCTACCACCTCCACCACTGTTGGGCCTGGCACACCTACCACCTCCACCACTGTAACTTCAGAAGGGCACACATTGTCTCTGCAAAGTGCCTCCTTTCAGAGACCGTGCCTTTGTGGATTTACGTACACTTGGTTGCCCGAGCAGTTTCACGGGTATTCTCAAAATGGACTTGAAGGTTTATATGGCTACGCTTGCATAATCTTGGGGGGTCTTCTCCGTTAAGTGAGTAGCAGACCACTCAGAGATCACCTGAGGCTGCTTACGGGGAGGTCAGGGTGTTTCTCAGAGGTTGTTGTTAGGGGTGTCGAGCGGATTCTGACTTACAGAGACCTCATGTGCAACAAAACGAAACGATGCTGGGTCCTGCAGCATCCTCCCAGTCCTTGCTATGCGTGGGCCCATCGCTGCAGCCACTGTGTCAATCCATCTCGTTGAGGGCCTTCCCGTTTTTCGCTAACTTTGCTTGACGTAGCATGATACCCTTCTCCAGGGACGGGTCCCTTCTGACAACATGACCAAGTAGGCGAGACGAAGTGTGGCCATTCTCGCTTCCAAAGAGCATTCCAGCTGCACTTTCTTCCAGGACAGATTTGCTTGTTCTGGCAGTCCATGGTACATACTTTCCGTATTCTTTGCCAACACCACAACTCAAAAGCATCAACTCTTCTTCAATCTTCCTTATTCATTGTCCAGCTCTCACATT